CACTTTCACTTTCTTTTTTTTAGCAAATAATCCAACATTAAACAACAAAACAACATCAAAACAAAACAAAACCAAAAGTTTACCAAAAAAAAGAATAGGCTGAAGCAAAGCTTATTATTGCCTACCATGTTTTATACTTACAACCTTTAACATAGCTTAACATAGGATTTTATCATTTTACATTTTAAAGCCCTTTTAAAATTCACCAAGAAAGGAGATTACTTTAAATCATCATTCAATTCATTCCACATTTTCACACCAATAACTGAAACACATCTAGACTTTATCTGACTCTTCTCTTTTTCACATTCAAATATAAACAAACCTCGCAAATTATATTTATTCTCTCTTGACTTAAATAATTTCTGAATAACAGAAGGAAGACTTTTGTTCACTGCTTTATGCATTATTTCCAGTATTTTTATATAAACAATGTCTTTGAATTTTAATGTATTGCTTTGAATGAAGAGTTTATCAGTTGGTACACGGTATCCCACCTTATTAATAAGCCTTACAGCTTTTTTTTGCAACTTAACTAATTTATGAATAATTCTTTTATTTGCATTTCTCCATACTTCTGAACAATGAGACAAATAAGGAATAACCAAAGAGGAATCTATAATATGCAGGCCTTTAATATTTATTAAATCTTTTATCTTAAATAATATTCCAATAGTTTTTGCAATTTTATTTCTAATATATTCTATGTGAGGCTTCCAACTAAGTTTGTTGTCTATAATAATCCCTAAAAAATTTGTCTCATAAACTCTTTTAATTTCAACTCCATTTATACATAACTTTACATCGTTATAGACCCCATTACCAGAGAATACTGTACCATAAAATTTAGTTTCCCCTTCATTTAATGACAACTTATTATAATCAAACCATGTTTTCAACTCAGCTAACTCTTTTTCTATCGTTTTTATTATTTCATCCAAATTTTTCCCTGAAAAAATAGATTTGTATCATCAGCAAACATTATAAACTTTAAATCACTGGATACTGCAAAAATATCATTTAAATAAAGTATAAATAATTTAGGTCCTAGGACTGAGCCTTGAGGAAGACCAAATTTTACTATGCCTGTTTGAGACTTTGTGTTATTGATTTGTACATATTGTAATCTATTACTTAGATAACTTTTTAACCACTGGTATGTAACTCCACGTAGGCCATACAGTTCACATTTACCCAATAGTCGTGAATGATCAATGGTATCAAATGCTTTACATAAGTCAATAAACACACCTACAGTATTAAGTTTCTGGTCAACTGCTGCAGCAATGTGCTCCACAAACTCCATCACAGCTAAAGTTGTGGAGCAGTTTATCCTGAAGCCGTACTGGTGCTCATTCAAAAAATTATTTTTATTGAGAAAAGAGTCCAGCTTTTTTATAAATAATTTTTCCAGAATTTTTGAAAATTGTGGTAGCAGTGATATCGGCCTATAATTTGTTAATATTTGTTTGTCACCATTTTTATGGACTGGCATAACCTTTGCCATCTTCATTTTATTAGGAAAGGTTCCAGTTACGAACGAACGTTGCAAATATGAGTAAGAGGTTTAATAATACAATTAATTACCTCTTTTACGATAGCCATATCAATATCATTGCAATCTTTGGATTTCTTATTTTCAAATTTTTTAACTACGTCTATTACCTCACTTTCACTCACTGTTCCAAGAAACATTGTGTTAATATTATTGAAATTATGATTATGCTTCCCATCTTTAGCCTTTGGCAATTTATTTACTAAATTAGGACCAATGTTAATAAAGTACTTGTTAAAAATTTCAACAATATCCTCAGTTTTTCCCACTATAGTATTGTTTTGGTTAATACATATAGGGAGATCTCCTGCTCACGTTTATGCAGTGATCCCCTGCTCACGTTTCAACGAAAACCCTAAGCCTAATCCTTCCAAAACTGATTCCAAAGCTGCGTCAAACAAGAACTGTTCAATAGTTGTTGCCATCTTCCTTGTGCTTTCTACGGCGTTGCGCAGTTTTGTCGTCATGCCCTCAAAACTCAGCTCGCTTTGCATTCAAAAATTCAAAACACATCTCAGCGTTATGCTTGGCCCGCCAGTTCTAGGGCCTGGGGCATTGATGGAGGCTAGACCACTCGCAGGTAAATATGATTTTGGCCAGGGCTAGTTTACTCGGCTAGTATTTTTTTGTTTTTTAACATATTTGTCAAAAGTGTCACTATGTAGGGCAGTAACAAAATGTGATTTTTCCAATTCGACTGATAGTAAAAGTGAAATTGATGCTTCATTCTATAACAGCATCACATTAAGTAGAGCCATGTTTGTGGGGTGGGGGTTGTGTCAAGGACAAAAATTTCTTACAATACATTTTGCTGCAGCGTTACATTGGTTATAATTGGTTATATCAGGTAGGTATCACCCATATTTTATTGCTAACCGTAGTGTGTGCTCTACTAACCCCATAGAATAAGCTAATACTAGATAAGTTTTGCACACACATCTCCATGCAAGCCAATAACTGGGGAAACTTTCGAGTTGTCCAGATGTCAGTCGACTCAGCCCAATTAAGTCAACAAGTCCTTGTTTTGCTGAATGCTCTACCTCATAGTGGAGTATGAGACAGATAACCTATAAAATATGAAAAGGAAAAAATCCTTTTCATCCTCCCAATAGTCCTACTACCATTTGCAGATGTAAACCACTCCTTGTCAGAAACAACCAATAACAGCCAAAGTTTCATCAGAGTCATCACACTAATATATGAGCTGCTCACATCCCTCTCCACCAGAGCTCTGATTCAGCGTGTGTGAGCTGTGATTGACACTCCATCAGACGCTCCTCTGTCTGTGATTGGTTGTTTTGACTCGTCCCGAATTATTCTTTCCAGATTGAAATACAGGCAGTAGGCGGTACCAATTGAAGCAGTTTTTTTCACAGGTTACATATCACATGTACTGCTGTCTGGGCATAGGGACAGTTTTAGCCAATATGACAAAAAGGTGATTTTTAAAAACTTACAGACTTCAGCTTTAATGGCACACATGAATTGAGAAAATGGCTTTTTTATTGGCTTTCAGCTAGAGAAAGACAATACATAAAAACATTAAGTACAGTAGACCTCCAAATGAAATCGTATCTTGGTGTGAAAAGGGGACTAAGGCTAGTGGATTAAATGAGCAATTATTGGTTTTGAGTAATAGGGTCTTTGTACACTATTATAAACGTTTGCACTAAGATTTGATGTATTGTACTTATTTTCTGGCTAAATAACATTAATTACCTACTCACTTTTTGATCTCGAAACATACCTCTCGTATCACTTTTGCTGACTCCTCAGGCCTGCACATACTGATAATATTGGTAATATCTTTAAGCATGTTACCCCAGACAGGATCACAAAAGGGAATACTCAACTCTAATAGAATACAAACATTTTTGTCTTTATATAAACAATGGCAAATAAAGCTTTTTTTTTTTCATCATGCCACAGGGCACGATTGCTCCAGGGGTTTGGTGCTTCAGCAAATTAGGATTGTGTTACTAACAGGATGTAATCTTATCATTGCATCTTGGAGGCAAGAGAAGCTACACATATTACACCTCACACAAGATGGTAAAATAAAGTTAGGGATATCATTAAGTAGTGCAAGTGCTACAATTTCAACTTCAATCGTGAGTTTAGCTCAAGACAGAACAAGTAATGAGTAAAGAGGAATGAAGCAATCAATCTGATGACATAGAAGGGTTTTTTTTTTAGCTGTGCTTGATAATGCCCAATGTAGATGATTCATGTGAACTAGCTGCTAAACATTAGTAAGCTGCCAAAAGAGCAATATTAGTATGTGGTATTGTGCTCTCAATTTGTACTTCAAATTGCAATAGTCATTGGAAAAAAGTGGACATGAAAATAAATCCATACATTGTGATATATTTCAAATATCCATAAATAATAGCATTTGCTTTACTTATACACACCATGTAATGATGGAAATAATAAAATGCACAAGACAATACAATTTACTTGCAGTATAAAGCATTTTCTTTTTGTCATAAACCATAACACAATGGACCAATTTAAAAATGCCGCGATAGCCAATGGAAGAATGTAATGTAATGTAATAGAATAGAATACAATAGAATAAATAGAATAGAATAGGCTTCGAAAAAATTAAGACGTGTAGTTCAATAGGAAATCTACACGGTATCTATCTTCTTCCTCTCATGAGAACCAATAAGTGACATTATAAAGGCAGAAGCACAGAACCTGGACTGTAAAGCCAAACATTACACAATAATATTAAATGGGCAGTTTAAATAGGGCACTACACTGTGCAAAGACACCCTATCTCTGAAGTTGCATTGATTAATCTTATCTAATCAGGAGAAAGAGTCTTGACTAAATAAAAGAGGGACTCTCTTTTACACTGGGGAAAAGTTATCTTTCTAATTTTCACTCAAAGCTTGGTTAGTGTATATAGCTTTTCTCCCCACAGACTCATCTGGGAACTGTCTTTTGAATTTGCAAAGATTGTCTTTGAGGATAGTAACACACAGATACATACTACCTTATCATTAAAAGCCAGCGAATATCAACATATTCATATTTAATGCTGGAATATATATTTAACAATGGGGTGATCAGCCATGCATGGGTGCGCTAAGGTTTGTGTCAGGAAGACAAAGCAGGTTGAGACAAAAAAAGCAATTGAGGGTCAAGACTTTAAATAGAGCAACAATAAGTCATAGTTTAATATTTGAACTTAGAAATAATTTAAATATGCCTTACTGGCTCGATTAAATTACCACGCTGAACGTTTATATTATTGCACAACATAAAAAAAAAAAACTATATATGTTTAGATTTTATATTTTGGTTTAAACCCCTTAAGCTTATTTTTTTCTATATTTTGCAACTTCTGTACACTAAAATGTCCTAAAATCACTTTTCTAACAGCCACTTTGCACACTAAGATGAGAATCAAATAAAAAAAGAGCGAGGTTCTCACCCTGCCATGACGATGAAGAAATCCAGACGGTTCCATGTGTCCCCAAGGTAACAGCGCCGCCCAAATATTCCCAGAGCAACCATCTTTATAACCATCTCCATAGCAAAGAAGATGTAGATGAACGCATCAAAGGCCTAACAAAAAGATAGTTAGAGACAAATATAAGAGGGAAACCTTTTCTTACAGTGCTTTATTTTACAATAAGAAAAATCAAACCATTATCAGATTTGTACCATCACATACTGTAAGACAACAAAACATGATTCACACCTACTTGAAAGTAATAATATCTGTATATGTAAGTTAGATTTTGGTTCTGATTTACAGTGTGTTTATTTTTAATATTCTGTTATTTTTGCCATTTAGTTCACTTTGCTTACTTTTTGCCATGTGTCCCCTAGGCTCAATTTAAATACTGAAAATTGCAACTCATATCTTTTGTTTCCAGCTCCTATTCCTTCACCTTTCTTGGGTTAACAGTAATAACTTTACTATGTGAAGAAAATTAACTCTGTATTGGTATGCTGAATTCCGATAGCCTTTATCCTTCTGAGCGTCATTACTCAATGAAAATGAATGATGCTTGTCTAATTAAAGAACTACAAACACAGTTTATTGATATATTGTGAATGGCTAAAGCTTTCCATTATAAAAAGAAATACATACAATATAAATGTCCTTAAATTGTTATGTGTTCTACACACCTGAAGAAATAATGCATTTTTTCAATTCTGTGAGATCGATTTTGTAAGTACAGTAGCTTCTATTTACAAGATTTGAACCCTTGCAGCTCCATTTGCAAAATTAACCATTCGCAGGAAGTATTTTTCTACCTTCTTTACTGTCAGTACTATGTGTACAGCACTTACTGTATCATGGCGACCGCTGACTCTCTTCTGCTTTGGCTTGAGAGTCCTTATAGATTTGCACAATTCAGGCATTTGTTGTTTTTGTTTTTTGAATAATGTTGTCTTTACCTTTTCCAGTGCTTATTTCAGTATTGTTGGATTTGTTCTTATTTTATTCAATGTATTTTACATGTTTTACTCGTTTTAATAATTTCTCTCTCAGCTAAAGCCTTCTGTTAACTAGTAAGTTCTATTCACCTGTATCCCCTCATTTACCTACTGTTCTGCACCTGCTTTTCTCCAATGCTTAACCTCTTACACCCTAAGGGGGTATAAATAAATTTCTGCCTGACAAAAACACACAAAAGTAAATAACTTATAGCCTCAAAGCTATTAGATTTAAGAAGAAACTTTTGGTACTTCTGTAAAGGTAAGATGTCATAGAATGGTTTTCTGGTGTCAGCACCATTGTAGCTTTGACCCTGCCTGAAATATTAGGGACAAAATACAAAATATTTTGCATTTTTTGAACCTCGCCAAAATATTCTTAGAAATAAACATTGCAAAACACTACCAAAAATTATTTATAGCACAAAAAAGTAGTACAGACTTTCAAATCTAAATGTTGTGTAAAAATATACCAAATTTGGACTCAATCAGATGAATCATATTTATTTTAGAATGGTATTAGTGAGAAATTTCTTAGGCGGAGAGGCCATTTTGGCACATTTATCCATAAATGTCACCAAACTGTGCCAAATATGTTTTTTACATCAATACTGGGGGTTTGGTAAAACTACGAGGTCATGTAGCAGCTGGACCCGCCGGTGGGTCCGTAGGGCTCAAGGGGTTAAGCCTCCAATTCGCTGTCACTATTCATTGTGTACATAATTCTTGTATTAAATCTCCATGCCAGTTTCTCTGTTTACCAAGCCTTATAATATGGGAGAATGAGTGGTGGGTCTATGATATGCATCTGACAAGGGATTACTCTAGATGGAATGGCTTCCTTGTAGCCGAAGTCAACAGCATTCAAACTGCAGGTTGCTCAAATGTTGGCAAGCAGATTTGACAAAGACCCCTGGATGGGTGTCAGCACATTTCCAAAAATTCACTGAAATAAAGTCAGAATGTTTCTTATTTGTTCCCTAATATAAATTAATTATTGTGCTGGTTTTTCAGTCAGGATTTCTTTAACAAAAAAATCAAAAGTGAAGAATAAAGGGTCACATGGCCTCCTTATCTTCATTTTGATAAACAAAAAATGAAAACCTTAGCTTTTGGTCACACCAACTTCCTCGTTAAACTTGTTTTAGATTGTTATAGATTTTTTTTCTGTTATTTTTCACTAATTTCATGTCAATCTCGAGCTTCAAGTTCCAGCCATCTGCTATTTTTCATATAAATAACCACCCCCAAAGCCTGTAACTGTCTTTTGGAAAAAAGTACCCTCAACAATATTTAATAGAAAAATAATAATAATCATGGGCAGGCCCATATCACAACCACCTTAAATGAAGCATTTAATAACCAGGAAAGAGGGTGAGGAAAAATTCACATCTTGTAATGGAATATGATTGCAGCTGTGAGCAAAAAGCTTTGATTAACTAATATTCCTTTTGGTGTAAATAGGGAATTAGAGATGAACTGACATGCTTGGTGTTGCTTGTAATTTGATTTTCAATGGTAGGACTGTAAGCAACAGAATCTTAAACTGAACCTTATCTGTTTGTGACAAGCTAGCAGCTGATGAAAAGCACCGTACTACGGATTTCTGGAGAGTTTACGGACATAAGACTGACCAGCTATTAAGGAGGAGGAGCACACGTCTGTCACTACTCCACGGAAATGGATAGATTACGAAACCTGATAGTGTAGATAGTGAGCAATGATAACAAATCATTAATTCACTGAGATTTTTGCAGCCCTTGATTTTACTATTTCTATTCACTGTTTTCTTTTCTATACTCACTTAACACAGGATGATTCCTAAAGAGGGAACTGGTTTGCCTATGCTGGTGAAGATTCTTATTCATCCAGGTCAGAGTCATTCCAAAAAAGGAAAAAAAAAACAATCCACTGGACTTTGTTTTCCAAGTTTGAAGACATTGCTTCCCATCCAGGAAGCTTTCTCAATTCAAAATTTTGCAGGCCAAAACTCAACTTTGCAGACCAACAATGACCTCAACGACTCCCCATTACTAAGGAGTGGACCTGTTTTTTTTTCAGTTCAATTTGCATGTTTTCTAAGCCATAAACGGCTTTTGTTTGGGCCACTTTATAAGCTGAAAACTCTACTCCAGACAATTTTTGAAACACAAATTTTCTGATAATAGACCAACTTGAATACTTTAAACGTATATACGTTTTATGCGTATAATTTGTCTTAAAATGAGTAAAGTATGGTGGACAAAGTCATACTTTTTTTAGGAAGCTGACTATCATAACAATTAATGAAACATATTACCTGCTATAGAAACTCAAAGGTAATTCCCTTTAAGTAAAACTGAATGCTAAATCTGTGTTCACTGATTGGATCTCTGCAGGGTAACTTCATATAGATACTTATGTAGAAAACATTGGCCTTGTCTCTTTGTGACACCAGTGACTCCCCGACCAATATAGAGGAGTTTACCAATCTTCGTATCATGTTTATGGGGGCTGGTGGTATTAAACACAGTATGGATAAACACTTGGGGTTTTCGTGTGTTATATCAGAGAAGTTCTCTGCTGTGTTGTCTCTGTGAAAAAAGTGCTTAGCTGATTATCCCAGGGAGCAGAATTTTTTTTCAGTTTTAGCTTTTGAAAAAGCAGAAAAATATGATATAAGGATTCATTGTTCCAATTTTCCTGATTTACTGAAATTTGCTGAAGAGAGTTTTTGAACACACTGAACACTTCAAAGGAAATCTTCAACTGAAGGTAAATACAGACATCAGTTCTTTATCTCCTTAATCTGTATTCTCTATTAGTTTGAACAGTCATAAGTTAGGGAAAATCTGGCTTTAATTTCTTAACAATATTAATATTTCTTCAAGGATATACACAATGTAAATTATTGTAAAATATCTTCTATTTAAGCAACAGCAGAACTTCCAATAAACATAAATACAAGAGTGTTATGATTTAACCAGCTTACAATGCAACAATCATGTTCATTCAGTCCACCTGTGCCTGCTAATCATGCTCATCCATTTCAACAACTACTTTTGCTCTTTCATCCACAGAATCATCGCCACATTATCAAAATACACAGGGCCTGGTTCCTAAAGAATCTAAATAAATATTACCGTACAAAAAATTGGTCTGTTGCAAGTAGCGCAAAAAGGTTGAATATATTCTCTTCTATGAGCAAATGTCATTTGTTTCTGGCAAGTTGAAAGTTGCCATAAAAAAGAGATAACATTCTGACAATGATCTGTTTCAGGTCATTATCCTTTTGCATGAGCAGTGACCTGTGACCGAGGCCAGTGTTTTGGACAGTGGGCAGCATATTTCTCTCTAGAATCACTTGTTAATCTAAAGGTTTTATTGTACCCTGAAGAGATTCAAGGCACCCTGTTCCAGATGAGGCAAAGCAGCCATATAACATAAAAGATCCTCATCGATGTTTCACAGTACATACAGTGTTCTTTTCTCGATATGCTTATTTTTTTTACATTCTATGAACATAGAGCCAATGTCCCTTGGCAATCCTTTCAGAGTCTTTGTGGCTTGTCAACATGTGGTTTGGCAAATTCCAGTTTGGCTTTTTTTATGATTTGTTTTTAACAGTGGTGTCCTCCTTGGTTGTATATCAAATCCACTTTGGCTCAAATGACAGATGGTGTGATCACTGAGCTTTTTTTGAGAATTACCTTTATTCTCTTTAGAAGTTTTTGTGGGGTCTTTTTTTTTCTTTACAGTCCATATTATCTATCTCTTTGGTTTGTCATAGCAATAGCAGCCATTCAAAATGGTCCTTCCCAGTCAAAAGCCAGCCGAATGGCAGCCCACTTATTGAAGGGGGACCAGCCAAGGGCCCATCAAGGAAAGTGGGGAACTTTTGAATGGCTAATTTTTCTCCTGTGGCTACTGCAAGGGAGGTTTGCTACAGTCACATAGATCTTAAATTTCTGAATATATGCTTGGAGATGGTCGTATAGCCTTTATATTTAACGTGCTCTTTCCTTCACTTCCTCTGGTCCATGCTGAGTGTTGTACACGCTATGTCAACAAACAGCACAGTTTTATTACATTTTTATTTTTACAGGCAAGTCATTAAGAAAAAGTTCCTATTTACAATGGCGGCCTGACAAGTGGAGTACCCACTTAGCAAAAGCAAAGTGGAGCTAAAATAAATGCAGTACATTAGCAATACATACATAAAATACAAACACAAGAGCTAAAATAATAGAGCAGTGATTATAAATAGGCCTACTGACTGATTGCGAGATTGTAGACACCTTTGATGCTAATTAGTGGACACACCTTAATTTAAAATGTTACTTTGGTCATATTATTTTCAGTCTTTTCTAAGGGTACAATAATTTTTCATCCTGGCATATTTTATGAGTTTATTTTTGAAGATCCTTCTGTTGCAGCATGGTTAAATGACAATGTCTACCTTTAATTTTTTCTCTTTCATATACTTCTTTTAAATTTTTATCATTTTTATAACATTCAACTTATTTCTATGATCATTGTGGATTTTTCTTTCACTAAAGATTGGGTACAAAAAATTATTATAGGTGTGTATTTTACAAAATAAACAATAAAAAGGAGTATTTTTGTTTAGTACACAGAGTGCAGATAAGCTGTACAATTCTTATTGTGCTCCATTTGATTTTTCATTGTTATTATTAGTGTACCTAAGTTAATATGCAATACAGTAATTAATCTGATGTGTTGAATTGCTAATGAATGGGCATAAATACAAATGTACTTGTGGGTTGATTAACATAGCAAAGCTATAGAGCAAATCTAGCCATCTCTATTGAATGATTTTTAAAAATCTGGATGCCTTGATGGTTAAGTTTACTGTTGGTATGATATGATTTCTGTATCTACTACAGTCTTGCTGATGTGTCTGGCAAAAATAGAAGCCTATCAAATTTGGCTTGCCATCTGCTTGCTGCCATGTATATGCTCTCATTTATTATAATGGCTGTGTGCTGCAGATACAGTTGAAAATGGGAGTTATAGTCTGCAGGGAGTAATAATTACTTAGCTTCACCTGTAGTGCTCTACCTGTGGTCTTGGGTGGATCTGTGTCTGTCTCTGTGTGGGTCAGGTTGATGAGTGTAGGATCTACAATATAAGTTAACCATTGGATTTGTTGAAACAGATTGCTGACACATAGTGAGCTGCAGAGGTAGGTAGTAAATAGTTACATTTAATCAATTACATTTACTTCAGCAACTTTTTGAAGTAGTACTTTAAGGAGAATTCTTTTCCACTGTATTCCCTACTTTTATTTAAGTAATAATTTTGTGAAATATCACTATACCTACTTCAGTAAAATTTCTGGCTAACTTAACTGTGAGTAAGTTGACATTATCCAGGATCAGCAGATATTGTCAGTGGAAGTTCTTCATCCTTTCCTAACATAAATATTTCTCACTGTAATGATTGGATTTATAATTGTGACAGTTTGTGTACCTGTAATATTTGGCATCGGTCTGAGGAGCAGTCGATGTTTTCGCAGGGCTGGTACATCCCAAGGGTCACGCAGTTGAGCAGGATTACCATCATGCTGACACGCTCAAACCATGTAGAAACATATAGTCAAAGAAAATGTCCACTCACAGTTTGCTAAATCAAAGAACAGAACTTTAGTACTTAAAACATTATTCAACAGTTAAAAAAAACAGAATAATTTGTAACATTCAACTTTAATCGAGGTAATTAACTTAGAGATTACCTTTACAATATATTTAATTCTGTAAAAGTTCTGCAAAGCAAGTCTAGGAATGGGTGATTATGCAAATATTCATATGGCACAAAAGCTTGAACAGCACTAGTAGCTAGAAAAATGTTAAAACAGCAGAATCCAATATCAGATGTTGGTTGTAGAAAAATCAAGGTGTCACAGTATGATATAATATGAATTGTTTCTGTGGTAACTAAAGAGCTTGGCCAGCCAGTGAATGATTGAAAATCTTCCCAAGAATATCAGGTTCTCCCTAAGGCTGTGTGCAGCCCCAAACACCGCCCCAGCTGCTGATAGCATATGATCTTCAAAAGGAAAGAAACCTGCTTACGAAACAGATCTCTTATAGAGTAAAACTGCAGGTTTGCAGAGAGAGAATTCCTAGAAAAGAATGCAATCACAACATGTTTCTCTTGGCCCTGCCTGAACCTTTCAACAAAAAAACAGGTTATTGTAGACATCACAGCGTGGATAAAGATAGGCTATGAGTGGGCAAATACAGGCATACGCATAAACACACACACACACAGGTTTACATACAAACACCAACTTACCAGAGCTTACATGAGCATAAAAGCACACATGTGAAAAAACAACCAGCAGGTTCAGATACATAAATGCTCAAATTCAACCACCCACATTTAAGCACAGATTCTCACGTTTCCTTTCATAAGCATACACTCTTAGGCTCGTTCAGTCCTTGGATTAGTATGCTAGCTGATAGGGATCATATTGAACAAAATCTTTAAAACTGCAGGGCAAGTTCTCACTATTGAAGGAGGCTGTCGCATTTTCCAGCTGCTCTGCTACTCACTGCTCTGTCACTGCTTTGCTGTGTCTTGTCTTTTCTGAGTACTCTCTTAATTTCACCTGAATTCAAACAATGGTTCTGGTCAGCTGGTCTCTCAATGCAATTGATAAAATGTTCTCAACTGGAAGACAGGGAAAAGGGGACCCTTCCTGTCCTGCCAGGACATACTTCGTGGGATACACCAAGGACTCCTGGAAGGCTTGGAGGATGGCGTGTTTTAAAATGTTATCAGTGGAGGATATCGAAGATGTATGGATCTTAGGATTTATGATACTCTGATTTACAATAGGATACTAAGATTTCTCCTGTTTGGATTTGGAGGATACCTGATGTATCTACAATTACAGAGGATGTCTGCAGCAATTTGGGTATTGATCAGGCTCCCAGCAGCGGTTGATGCGCTCACAAAGGCTTTGAACGAGAAAGACCGTGAGCTGAGCTGTATGCTGGGTGTGACTGAATGAATTTTGGATAGGCACCCCTCAAACCCTCACAAATGTTGTGGCAGAAGGGCACAGAATGCCCCCATACCCCTCTCCCCATAACCCCCCCCACACACACCTGTGAATATATGTTGTTTGCATTATAAAAAAAACCCCTTTTCACAGTTAAACAGTGTATGTGTGTATTGAATTAGTTTGGCTATGGGTTGAAACAGTTCCAGCCTTGTTTTTTGAACACCAACCTCAACAGGTTCTTTTAGAAAGGACATAACATTTCCAACACTTTCTTGTGCAGAACTCAGCTCGAAAAGTAGGAGCTACAACCTATGAATGACAAGGGTTGCTCCATGGAGTAATTTTTTGTAACAATTATACTCAGGGTAATGGCCTCCTAGCTTCCTGAGATGAAAGTGGCCAAGGTGTGTTGACATTTACCCTAGAACATTGGATTGCCACTACCCTGCTTTGTGAGATGGCATCCAGGAGACAGAAGGCCTACTCTGTAAATGTCTACAATGCAAAACTGATCTGATATTACATAAAAAATTGTTGTCTCCCTGTCTCTGTCCCCTTTAAAAGCCCTCCCTCTTCAGTTCCTGTTTGCTGGATCCTCGTCTAACCTCTCGTCTAACCCCTGGTCAATCGTCTGTCTGCCTTCCTTGTCTCTTCCTGGTTCCTAGATTTTGGTTTTCCCCTGATGTCTCCTAGGTTCTGGTTCGTGAGTTATTTTTTGTTGGATTTTTTGATTCCTGTCTCTGTGCCTGTGAACCTCCTGCCTCAGTGCCTGTGAACCTTATTAAACCACTTAAATTCACCTCTGCCAACTCGTCTCTGCATTTGGGTCCTCTTCAACCAACACCACTTTCTGACATTTTTACTATATGTTTTAACTAAAAAAAAAAAAAAAGAGTGTGACAAAATTGAAAGAATTGAAAGACCTTATTTTGGATCAATTTACAGCTAATATGGATTTTGTAGACACAATACATTTTTCCTATATATATATATATATATATATATATATATATATATATATATATATATATATATATATATATATATTTATATATATATATATATATATATAATTTTTTGTTGTTGTTGTTAAAAGTGATTTTATATTTGAATAAACTTAGGCTCTATCTTGGTGTTGTGCTTTATAGATGCCATTAAAAAAGAAAATAGACATAAGGAGCTATTTTAAGAGTCAGTCAGTAAGTAACAGGATACTATAAAAGGTTGTGTTACATTTAATCATTTAATATCAAAAACACACTTGCATAATTTCCTATTATATGATAATAGAAAACACAGCTATCCAGTAATAATGATGCAGGGCAGCTTCAAGGTGATGTAGCTGGCCCTTCAGTGCTTCACTTGACGTCTAAATAATTTTACTAATAAATTTAGGAGCAACTTTTTTTATTTAAATACTAAATAAATATAAATTTGTATTTTATATGGCTGAGTTTAGGGAACTCAAACAATGAGTGGTGATGCTGCAGCACAAGTAGAGAGTGAAGTGGCTTCAGGTGAGAGTTTAATGTTATTCAGTAATTGGATTCGGTGAAATCTGTTGGAGCTCACAAATGATGCCACATAAATTTTAGTACAGTAGTTTGCCTGATCAACATGTTGGTTTAGTTTGCTGTTATCTCCACATCAGATTTATTATGTAAGAAATATGTTTGGAATGTCACAATAAAATTAAGTTTGCAACTAAGATTATACTTGATGAATCGATTAATAATTGGATCGGATCAGCAACATTCCTCCCCGAGAGTATGGGGAGATTTCATTCAACCATGTCCTGATCACAAATAGTTATAGTTACTGGAGTAGAGGCTCAGCATTAAATATAAGAATTCAAAATAAACCATAATAAATGTAATTATTTCAGATAAGTAAAAATAAGCTTAGCATATTTGTGTGTGCACTTAGATCGTAGCTGTAAAAAGAGGAGTATTAAGCAACACTGTCAGGTGTTGTTCTTGAAAGTTGATTGCACCATAAAAAAAAAAAAAAGTTTTCATCTGATTAAGTTATTCAACTTTTTCTGAAATATGTTTATGACATAAAAATCTAATTTATTAAATTAAATAAACCGGGATGAAGTAGGCTTTAGTTAGTCACAATGAGTACACAAAAGTGGGATTTGTTTCAGTCTGATATCATTATAAATTGACCTAATAAAGGTGACATAAATATTTATTATCTTGATGAGAGTAACAAACTGCTGAGTCCTTAGGGTGAGGTATCATTCTTTGGAAGACGATTCCTAAATTGAGTTGCTTAATTCAGAAAAACTGTGACATATACTTTGACACACACACACAGCACATTAACACATGCCGCTCAGCAGTTCCCAAGATAGTATCGTGCAGGCAGCAATCACTGGAGGGGTGTGTTAACGACAGACTAATGACTGTCATTTACCAAATTTGGGGGAATGTCTTTATTTATCTGGAGGTTTAATATTTAATTGAAAAATACTTGTGTGTTCATATTTATATATTCTTTAAAAAATAAAGGAAACACATAATTAACACACTATAACTTCAATAAAATCAAACTTCTGTGAAATCCACCTAGGAAGAAACACTGATTGAAAATCAATTTCTCATGATGTGCAAATGGAATAGACAACTGGTGAGGGTTGTGCTTACAGCCCAACACTGTTTAGGACATTTGGCATTTGCTAGAGGGAAACAGGATTGGCAAATTCACCATTGACACCCTGTGCTCTTCACAGATGAAAGCTGGTTCATGCTGATAACATGTGACAGACGTGACAGAGTCTGAAGACAAAATGGAGACCGATCAGCTGCCTGCAACATCTTTCCATGACCGGCAGTGGGTTAGTAATGGTGGGGCGTGGCGTTTCCCTTGGAGGGTCCCACAGCCCTCCATAGGCTCGCCAGAGGTAGCATGACTGACATTACATGAGAGATGAGATCCTCAGACCCCTTGTGAGACCATATGCTGGTGTGGTTGGGCCTGTGTTCCTCCTAATGCAGGACAATGGTAGACCTCATGTGGCTGGATGCCTCTGCAGTTCCTGCAAGATGAAGGCATTGAAGCAAAGGACTGCCCCACCCATCCCGACCTAAATCCAAATGAACACATCTGGGAAATTATGTCTCGACCCTTCCACAAATATCAGGTTACACCACAGATTGTCTAGGAGTTGCCAGATGCTTTAGTCCAGGTCTGGGAGGAGACTTGGAGGCCACACACAACACTGAACCACAATAAAGCACACATACCACAAGCTGGCTTCTTTACATGTTGCTCTCCATGGTGGGACATAGGCCACGCAGCTCAGGATTGTTTACCGGTTGACCAATGTTTAAAAAATCTGGGTTAACCTGCTATTTTCAGTAGGAAAGAGACTTTAGCTACTTTTATGGAAATGTAACTAGTAACTAAAACTAGTTACTGTAAGTAATGTTTTCAACACTACGTGGTCCAAGAAAGTTGAAAATGGTAAAAAATAAACCATTAGGTTTTGTTTTCCGAGTTTGAAGACATTTTGCTTCCCATCAAGGAAGCTATATCAATTAAAAATGCCTGGATTAGCGTTGAGT